AAGCCCTTCCATTACTGGCACATATTTCGCCAGCCATAAATATCGCTGTATGTATATAGGTTTACAGTATAGGTAGTTATCGGTTGTTATTTCTAATGTACGTCACATTTATACACGCCGATATGCAGCAATATATCCTCTGGGAATCTTTAAATTTCGATGGCATACGACGGGAAATATTTCCCGATACGCGGTGAGAAATAACGAACTTTCGAGCATGCACAGTAACACTGTTTGTAACAATAATTAGTTATTTATTGTTTAATTGCGAAACGTTGATTTCATTCGTTCATTTTTTAATTACAAATAATTGAAGCATTTGTGTTAAAAGCATTTTGATCATTAAGAGACATTTTTTTTTTTACAAAAGAAATTATGAATAAAGGAGTAACGTCTGGATTAAAAATAATAATCAATATTGATTGCGAACATGGATATGAAGCTTTAAATTCTGCAATATTTATGTAGCTGCATATTCTAGTACAATATATTTTATATTGAGATTTAGGAGTTTTGCTGCAACAACAGCTTCAGATTGAAAAATATTCGTCCTTAATAAATAGATTTATGAATATAATATTTACGTACATTATCATTCAAAAGTATTCACTAGCTCGATTACTCTCGGCAGAATCCAAATAGAAAATTGTAAAAGAAGATGTAATGATTTAAATTTATATTAATTTTTTGAGACTAATATATAACAATATCATTACCGCGTAGGTAAATACATATCAAATTTAATTAATTTAACTAACACGTGTTATATAAACAGATTCTTTAAACATATTATTAACCAATATGTAAATGGAATGAGAAAAGTTTTTCTAAGATGGCAGCAGAATTATAGCAATTATTTCAAGCAATTATTTCAAGCACTGGTGATGGCGGATATTTAAATATCTAGTATGTGATTATAATTTGTTATATTTCGCTGTCGTCAAGTTTTTAAATATATTATTTACATTCATATTGCCTTGATTCCATAAAAATATGATAAGTAGTACCTTCAGTTATATAACATCTACTGTATATCTTTACTATTCTCATTATATCGTTAAAAAATCTAAAATGTTCGAATACTTATGAACGATACTGTACATCGCATATCAATCAACTTTTTCCATTCGCCGTTCTTTCTACTAAAAAAAACTTACCTACACAACGCTTGCATCAATCACGCGTATATGTTATACAAAGTAGTGCACCGCTGATTTCTTTCTTCAAACATTTTTATCGGAACGCAGTTTACAAAAGTAATTCATTGCCATAATGTAGCGTTTAAAATACTTTTTACGCTTTTAGACGACATTTCAAACTTCATCGAAAATTTCAATTCAATATACTTCAAGCTTCACCTTACAAATGCCAACTTCTACGAATAAACAGCGAACTGGACTTTGTTTGAACAGTCGTGAGCGACACACGAAATGCATTGTAAAATCTTGGCAATCCGTGCAGTTAACGCAGTAAATAAAATGGTTTACGTCAGCCGCGTGTCATCCAGTCTTGTTACGCGAAACTTGGTCTGGTTTTAACGATCGCAAACCCGCGTACTGGTTATCGGTCGTTACGTTTGCTCCGTGTTACGCTCGCGTTACACCTGCGACAGACATCTATCGCGGGTACAAGAGGAGCTTTGCTTGCTTCTTATCCTGGACAAAACGAGTTTCCGACCCTTGCTCCGCGTGTAACAGCTCGCCTTTTCATTTCGTGCGTTTTAATTAATACTTTGACATGGTGTTCGATCAATTTCGTATCGATAACATCATCCAGGTCTCTTAAAAGATAATTCTCTTTTTTAACTTCAAGTAGTTCTTCTAGAAATAAATTCCTTTCTCTGGTTTAAAACAATTCTTCTTTGATTAATATTACTTTTAATATTATTTAAGTCTAACTAGTTTAGTTGAATATTTATTTCATCTCATATCATTTCACATTTTTTACTTGCATAATTTATTAGACAAGATTTTTGGATAATGTTTCATGACATTAATGTAAAGGATATTTTTTGTATATCAGATACATTAAAATAATTTTGTGTACCTAATAGAATGGAAATCTGATGAGCTCTTTGTCTAACATTACAGGAAAAGATCATACAGCATAATATCTGAAAATAATTTTGTGAAATTTGTAAATATAAAATATAGAAATCAATCGTTCAATAATAATATCAAATTGAATTGAATCTTTTGTTTCTTTCTTTATAAATATCGTTCCCAGAACTATCTCAAAATATCTCAAGCTATCTTTGTAAAAGGAGTAATCTGTATGTCTAAATACCATAATATTCTAACATAAAAAAAAACCATAATATATGTTACTGTACAATTACCTACACAAAAATATAAGTAACTTCGAAAGCTTTAGTTTTAGCAAATTTCAAAACAAACAACAAGTTTACGCAATGATCTCAATACTGAATCACTACACAATCGCTATTTCTCGAAACAATGTTCGATTCCTTTCTAATGACCGAACTATTCGAAATTCCCATTAGAATTTAATCAAACAGACAGCGCAGCGACGCGCAAAAGTTACGAACGAGTCGCAACTGCTCCATTACCAACTTTAATAACTGTCTTAAAACATCCAAATGTTCGCTAAGTGAATTACCAGGACGCCTTGACGCGGCGAGAGTAACTTTCTGTTTCATCGAAGAAAGAATCATTCGCTGAACCATCCCCGCCATGGAAATTCGATTTCGAAGAAGCTGGTGGAACACGTCGAAGTCGATTAGAGGCGCGGACGAGGAGGCGCGGTTAATTTAAGACGATCGAGACATCCGCGGAATTCTTAAGCGAAACGCTCGATTTGTCCGGCCGTGTATTCCTATCCTACGCCGTGTCACGGGTCTGAACGGTTCGTATAACCGATCCACGCTGACAGAACGAGGCTCGATGCGTCGTAAGCCAAGAATAGAGAGGACACAGACCGGTCGTGTTGCTCGCGAAGCGATTTCGATTCGAATTTTCGCCATTCATTCGACCCGTTCGAGGGACTATTAGAAGCGAAATAGGAAGCTCCAGAGGAATCTTGAGCACGACGCCACGGATTATCAGAGACTCTTCGCTCTTTGCCGCCGACTTTGCGCGCGGACGTTAAGACAGATTTAAAGGGCAGCCCGGAGAAATCACTTTAGGGGATTTCCACGTCGAATCACGTTTAATGTTAATGCGTGCGATTTGACCGCGACTGAAAGATTGCCTGTAGTCAAGGATCGCAATCCATGGAATCCCGCGAGCAAATGGAATATTTGGACTTTTAAAATCAGAATCTCCATATATCGTGGAACATTTTCTGGAGAACTAACGTACGGTTATTTCTATTCGATCATGAAGACTTTTAGCTTTTACTCATCTCTGTGTGATTGCCAGGTTGATGATGTTTATGAAAATACATATTTTTATAAATACAGCTGAAAAACCTAAGCAGAGATTTATATCATCTACGAAATGTTATAATGAATATTACTGTTATAATAGTATAGTGTGTATTTATATATATTACTGGAATATGATTCTAGATAAATAATATAATTTGATACAAATAGTATAATAATGAGATAAAGGTAATATAACGTATATTACATATATTGCTACGATTTTGTCGAACATGCTTAAACATTGGTAAAATAATGACACTCACATCCTAGAATATAGTTCACTTTTATAATTGATTCTGGCAGATATTTCAAAATTGACGATTAATCAAATGTTACACAATTCCAATTAATTAGTGATTCCTGGATATAAGTATTTGGAAATGAAACAATTAAAAACTATCACAATTTCAATACGTTTTCCATATGTTTTATATTATATGAAATCATTTACTATGTGGAGCGTTTAATGTTTAAATAGAAAAGTAGCACTAATGCTGCTACAAATTAATTTGCTAGTAGAAAGATGCACGATTCGAAAAATTGAGGAATACTGGTGCGGAGATTTTCTCATTGACAAGCGTTTTATACAACAAAAAGTTAATTGAGAAATTTGCTTGAAAGCAATTTTATATAAAGATGAACGACTGGAATTTACCACATATTACTTATGTAGAAACTCCAAATAAATAATTTTTAAACGTGAAAGAAATACTTCCTTTTACATATCGATAGAGAATTTCCGCTGATGGTGGAAAAAACGATAGTAAAAAGAGAATTTTTGGTACACACGTTTACTCATTCGCAAGTGAAAATAAAATTGTGCCGCGATCGTTCCGTTCCAAGCACCTTAAATCGAGTTCTCGACATTTATCTTTGTTGGCTAGTCATCAAAGAGAGAAAACGTTTTAAGGAAATCCGGTGCACGGGAAATTACGGAAATCGATCGCCGTTCGAGCATTAAGGGACACATAGACGGTGGGGTCGTTTCGTAGAATTTGATAGGGAAACTCTGTTTGAAGTGTGCATACGTTTAAAAGTACCATATATCGAAAGCATGAACAATTTTGCGTATATGCAATGCAATTTTGAAGATTGAAGCAATGACCTGAATAATTTTTTTTACATATTTCCTAGATACATCTTAATTTTACGTTTACACTTTATGGATAAATATTTTCCTTTTATCAATTGACGATGAAATTTCAATTTAAATCAATATATCTTCTAATTTATCTTAATTAGTAGTAAGAAAAATATAATATTTAATTATAGAAGAAATAACTAATAATGAGGAAAATTACCTACATGAATAGATAAGACAAAATTACATAAATAAAAAAATGTTTATAGGAAGATAGTTATCTTTAATCGTAAGTACTCTATATCCTATTAATATTTCCCATTTCCTATTAGTATATTAGTAAACAGTACCAACAATTAAAAATTAATCATAGTGCCATGTCGTACTATTCCACAGTGAATACTTAACCTTCCGATCTTATTTCGTACCACGCAAAATAGTTCGATCTCTAACGGTAACCAAACAAACAACGGCATAAACACCATCCAGGAAAAAATCCAGAAAATATAAACAAAAGCTTTTTTCACTTACGAATGATGACAACGCCAATTACGTTTGTTCGACAACCTCGATAACCAGCTGATGCACTTAGTTGCACAGCAGCCGATTGTACTTGGCAGTTCCGCTGCACTTGTGGCCCATTCGCTGAATTCTCCTGAATTCTGATCTCACACACGCACACACAGCCACCGCCGGCGATCGCAATTTAACTCTGTCACAGTTCACTTCGGACAAAGAGATTCCTCGAGCCTTGAATAGCGAGAATCCGAAAGAGACCCGCGAACGCAATGACAACGCGTCAAGAAAGACGATTAGACTTTCTCTTCTCCTCTCTCTTCATCATTCGCGAGAGACAAAACCGATTAGCGATTGTCCGAACGCGATACTTCTTACGAATAAAGCATGACAGCGTCGCGATTCAACTCGAAACACAATCGACTCTCGATTCGATTCGACGCGACTCGACTCGCGAGAGTACGGAAGTCACGAGCAAGTTAAGCCACTTATCAAGACCAAAAACGACGATGATGGATGCTACGCTCACCGGCAATTAGTTCGACAAAAACGACGATGATGGATGCCATGCTCACCGACAATTAGTTCGATGATCACCACCCGAATTTCAAACAGTCAAGTGCTCTCGTGACAATTCGATTCTCGAATGGCCTTCATCGATTCGGCACGAGCAATCGAACTTCAATCGCTGCATCGATGATCCGCGCACTGATCTCTGTCTCACAGAGAGAGAAAAAAGTCGTAAATCAACGAGTTAGTTGAATCGATACGCGAGCGAGAGAGAGAGAGAGAAAGAGTAAAAGTTTCGACGATGCTCCACCGTATATTACTTCGAATGTTACCGCTCAAACGATTGCACCGATACAAACGTTCTCTGGTCGACGACACACTGCGACAACATTCGCATGAAAATCGTGTCTCATGATGCGTCACGCGGTAACACGCGACGTGTAGATGCAACTATCACTCCTGTTGTAGAATTTAGTATGACGGGCAGTATACTTGACTCGCGGTACGATGAGGTTAACGGTGGTCGAGAAAGAGCCCACGCGAAAGCCAGCCGTGTCGCGTCGCTGAGGCGCGAAGTTGAACGCGACAGGTGCAAAGGGAGTGAAGTGAGGCGAAGCTGCGCGCGCATCTACACAGTACGACACGGCTCGCGGCTCGCGAGAAACTGCCGGCCGCGCGTTAACGCGATACCCGACCGCCCCTTTCAAGCCAAGGATCTGGCGCAGGTACCATCCCTTTCTTCCCCCCACCACACAGGCACCCCAACACAGGCACCCCGTGACTCTACACCCTCGCCACTTTCGACCTTTCGACGCGCATCCTCTTTTCCAACTTATCCCGGACCTGGATCCGGCTAATCGAAACCCCTTACCCCTTATTTCACCTGCGTCCCGCCATTGTTAGCTCACTTATCGGCCTGTCTGTTTTATCAAACTGCTCATTCACATTTCACTAATTGTCCTTACTTTCTTTCTCTTATATCGACGACTTTAATAGAGTTTCGTTTAATGAGTTGTTATCTGTTTTTGTTTCTTGCTTCTGGAGTGTCGGGAAAGGGTAAGATAGGGATTTGTCTGTTATCTGCTGATAAGAAATGGGAACCATGGAACCGTTTGAAGATTATATTGCATAAGGGCTATCATAATTGAATGATTAAAAATGAAGTATTTCAAATAGTGTAACTAATAAACATAATAAAAATAGAGAGACAAATAATATGATGTTATTAAAGTTTATGATGTTATTAAAGATTATTTTAGATTAGTCTAAGCATTTCAGAGATTTTAATTTAATTACCAAGCATTAATAAAAATACTTATATCACTTTAATTAAAATACAAAATGAAACTATCGTGTAACTAACATAAAAGTCGTACGTAGATATATGAAATTAATGTTTATTATTTGAATATCATTAATAAATGTTTCGTATAACTTATTTATTTCTGTAGCTTCTCTGTTTCTGATTGATTTTGGTACATTAATTTAAAAAAAAGGCAATATCCGATAATAAAGAATGAAAAGATTTTCCAAGCATTCACAGGAATTAAGGTTCGCTGCACGTAAAAGTAATTTACGTTTCGATTCACTGACGATTTTGAATAAAAAGAGAAAAGATATGGGCAATAATGAACATGCACAAAAATGAATAGAAAATGAAAGACGTTCGATATTTATTTAATTGGCATGTATTCATTTACCATAAACCGTATTTTATTTGCTATAAAAATAATTTAAACTATCACTAGAGTTTGGAATACTTGGTTATCATCCAGAAAGTTTTTAACGTGTAAGGGAACTGTAAATTCCAATAATGAAGTAATTCCTTGCACATAATTGTAGATTGAATTATACTCTACATTATTAGGAAAGGATACTTTCATAAAAATAAAAGAAAGCGTATCATCTTAGCCTCGGTTAAATTTAATTAGAAATCGTAACCTTAGTAAAAGTCTGTCAATTTTCATTCGTTCTTACAATATTACTGCTCATATAAAGTAAACATAAACAAACGATATTTCATCTTAATTGTTGTAAATTAATGAAATTGATAATTACTGAAAGTATTTTTTCACACTAATTAAAGTACATAGAGAAATAAGACTACGTACGCTTCAAAATCAGTAGATTAATTTTTATACTAATAACGTTTGCTATATGATCTTCAAATTCGATTTAGCTAATCATTAATTCATGTCTACAATTTAAACATTATACATGAATACATTTATAATGAACTAAATATTCAAATTACAACAAGGTGTGTATAAAACACTTAGCGACTTGGTAAGATCTAAAATTCCCTTGCCAATCTTTTATCTATCCTGATAAGAAGAAGTTTTGTATTTATTTCTGTTCCACAGAAAATTGTGATTATACAGTACCTACTTGTTAAGATGAAGTTCTAAGAAGAGCAGTAATGGATCAAATTCGCCTCTAAAATTAGAACGGTCGTTTGCTAAATCGCGGAAATTACGTACTAAATCTATACATACGCGATGCCAACGCTCCATGAACGAAAGAAAAATCGACGAAGTGTCTTGTTTATTTCGAACTTATACGATCGACTCAATTATAAATTTTCTACGTTTTATTCGCATCTTTTTATAGAGATTATTGGCGTGTAATCGATATCTTAATGTAGGACTCCATCAATTTCCTCATTGGAAAATGTAACCTAACGAGCCGCCTTTCAAGAACGACAAGAGGCACGATAGAACAACTATTCGCGAGACTGAAACCTTGTAATTCGCGTGTTTAAGGAATAAATAGGACGATATCAAGCCACCGGAACCAGCTACGCAATTATTGTAAACAAGGTACACGGCGATATTAATCCACAAATGTGGCTAATAATTAATCAAAATCGCGGCGTCTCGCTGGAAAACGGAAGGGACAAACGATCCAGCCATTTCCGCCTTATTATCGCAATTCATCTGTCGGCTATCTACACAAGATTTATTCCACGTCTTTCACGAAGCCGGGCTTCTTTTGCCTTTGCTCGACCGTAGACAACCGGATCTCCTCCTCTCTTTGCTCGTACCTCGCGTTTATCCGCCTGTCTGCGAGTCCGATTTGCTCACAAAAGGCCAGACCGTGGAACAATAAGGGCATCCTGACGCTTCCACATTAAGATTTGTCTTCACGCCTGACGAATTTAAATCAGGCCCATCAGGCTCTGAGTCGTACAATCGAATTTCTTTGGAAATTGGAAATGTCAACATATTTTATAATAGTCATTATTAGATTCTGGACTTCCATGCAAATTCATATCTTTTAAAATTTAAGCTAAATTTAGATCAAAATACTATCGTTTAATGTAACAGGTACCTAAAAATGTTACTTAGAATTAATGCAATATAAAGAAAATAAATAGCTATATGTGATTGTGTTTCTGTCTGAATTAAAGTAAGCATTAATATTATCAAAAATAGTTGTTTGTTTGTAGCAATCGCGAAAAGCAAACATCTGATAATAGTTATTTTGACCAGTTTTCTATCACATTAGAAAAATGTGTAAGAACTAAATAACCAGAAGACACAGATTCTAAAGCGGTAAAGTAATTTTACGAAGATTATAAACATAAATTTTGTTATCGTACATTGATCGATCAATTTTATAGTTAAACTACAGCCTATTAAAAGAAAAGTGATTGTGTTGACAAAGCAATATTTACACTGAAGGAACTTTGATTGGTTTTGTGTTGATATTTGGTTTTTCAGTTGACAGACCTTAATCCTAGTCTGTGTACCAAAAATTTTTGAGAATTCGATGCATCAAAAAATTGTATTCTAATACGTTATAGATATACCGGGATGAATATTGCTTGTGTCTATATAACGATATTTACAAAATAATATTCATCTACTAACTGATCAAGTGCAAAACTTTCCAATGTTATCTCTATTTTTTTTTTAAATGAAATTAATCTCACAACCATGCAAACGTTGTATACAAAGGTATGTTATCACGTGACTATCAAACGTTCTACATAGCCGAAGCTTTTTCACTGTGCATCGGTAAAATCTGTATTCCGCGAAGTAAAAAGCAAAAAAAAAAAGAAAAAAAAAGAACAAATCCACATATAGAAAATCAATAATAATGCCATTTGCCAAAAGCAACGAAGATTGTGAAACATAGATGGAAAATAGTGAATTTCAAAGGAATGACAATTGATCTAAAAGCGACAACGATGATTAAGAAGAACAAATTGGCTGACGCTTATAGTACATATCAGTTTTTCCGGTCAGAATAAAGACGAGAGCGTGGTATTCTACGTAGGTTAACTTTTCCACCGGAAAACGGGTTTTCCATTGGAAAACGCGATCGACCCTTTGGTAAATAGCTCGAGCCAGGTGTTACTGAACGACGTTCTCCTATCGTGTTTCCCATAGAAAATAAAAGGTTTCCGAACAGAGCCATTGGAAAATTCACTTCGTATTGGCTAAACCAGATCAAATGCATCCGCACTTACGTCGATACGTTTTAACTATACATGCACCACGCTTCGTCTAGCCGGGATTTACGAATATTTCGAGATGTGTGCGAGTGGAAGCTCGCAGGCTAGCCAGGAATGTGTTTCGCGAAAGTACATATTACTTTGAAGCAGAATCTGCGATATTTGGTCAAAGAGCCTTCTACGTTGGTGTTCATTTTCGCTCTAGAATCTATGTTCCTTGGCCTGAAAGAGTTTTGTATTGGTTCCTACGTTGTTATACACTTAGATTGTATAATTCTGAAACGAGCAAAATCTCAGACAATAGTAATCATAATAATCGAAACCTCTAAAAGATCTGTTACTCGAACAATACTAGAGCAATAAAATACTACGAACTTTTTGTTTAAATCCAGTGAATTGATCATAACTTGGTGGAAAATTAACATGAGCTGCGACAGATACTTTCTGATTAAAGTTTTATTAAATATAATATAAATTCGTACTTATTAGAAATAATTTTGTACGATTAAATAGCATGAGGTTACAAATTGCTGTTGAGATAAAAGATAAAAAATGACATACATATTTGTCTTCAAAAAATAGTATGTTCGGTTTAGAATAAATATCCATCTAGATTTATACACCAAACCATCTGAATCGAATATTTTTTTCAATTCTGTAAACATTACGTCAATATTCTATATTATTCTCCCAAACTCCTTTTTTTCGTTTTACCACTCAATCGATAGACCGATTTCTAGAATTCTCATATGTCCAACATTTCATATAACATTGTACCATTCTATCATTTGTTACAATTCCATCAAATTCTCTTGATTAAAACGAAAGAAAGGGACTATGGAGGATCTAAAGTGGCGTAGAATTCATTAACCATTCGGGGCTAAAACATTCCCCATTAAATTAAATCGTCGAAAATAACATTTCCATTATCACCATAAATTCGTCAGAGATATTTCGATAGTGCTTTATCCCCGAGTCGGCAGGAATATTCATGTTATCGCGAAACTTCTGACTTCCATCCGAATTAACAAAGTGAAGCACACAGGTTAGCAGGTAACTTCCTGCAAACTGTATTTGTACAATACTTAGACTAAAACTGGTAGGTATATTCGGAAAGAATGACTGTAGTTCTATCAGAAGTCATGACAGGCGAACTTCTGATTATCAAGTTTCCTGTCTCAACCCCTTTATCTGCTGTCCCCTTCTCGTGTAATCCCTTACTACTAAGTAAGTATCAGCTTTAACGGGAATACCGAGCAAAACCTTATTCTACGAGTTCACCTTGTCTGTGAATGCAACTCACACAAAATAAACAATGATTGTAGCCTGTAGTTTCACCGTCAATGTTGACATATTAAGATGAGAAAGATCGAATATCTTCTCGTTCCTTTAATTAAAAACAAGTTACATGTAAAAATTACTTTTAAACAGAATGCCCTAAGAGGAGAAATTACAGTTATATCATTTTAACATTGAATAAAAATTAAAATAATTTCAATACGATTTTGTTCATTTTTCTATACAGGAACCGCATTGAAAGATTTTGTACTATAAAACTTAAATAAAATAAATTCAATATTATTTAATGTCATCGTATTAATATGTACTATATGAATGAAAATTTAAAAGAATTGGCTACAAAAGCAAACGTTTGAACAAGTGTTCCACATTATATTCTTCTTTGTTTTAAATTGTAAATCAAAATCTCCTTATCAATCAATATT